CGGGAGAACTGCTACGACTGTGCTATAGAAAGAGTCACCGTATAAGCCTTCCCAAGATCCGGTCCTTTACTTGAGGTGACAACATTGGCCCAGCTTCAAGTAATGCTGCTACGCAATCCACCCCGTCATCTTCAATGTCCTTCCTTGACAACGCATCCGCCACACTATTATCTTCTCCCTTGATATATGTAAAATCCACATCAAAATCTGCTAGCGTCTCAATCCACCTGGCTTGTCGTCTGCTGAGAGTTCTTTGCTTGAGAAGGTAGGTTAGAGAATGGTGATCTGACATGATATTAATTTTCATGCCTAACAAAAGCATCCTCCACTTGTGGAGCGCATGCATCACAGCTAGAAGCTCCTGCTCGTGTACCGGGTAGTTCTTCTCTGCCGGAGTCATTTGCCTCGACTCATAAGCCACCGGTGACGCTATCTTCCACTCCTTCCCTTGAAACAGCGCTGCACCTAAACCTGACCCACTCGCGTCCGTGAAAAGCCACACTGGATCATCTGATTCGAAGTCAATATTCTTCAAATGAGGCAGTGATGTCATCAGGCGTTTGATATTTTGAAAAGCTTCGTCTTCTTCTTTCCCCCACTTAAATTGTTTCGGGTCAAGTTTTGTGCTCGTGAGAGGCGTTAGCTTATTCACATACTTCTCTAAGCCCCAGATGAATTTCTTCATCCACTGTACGGTGCCTAGAAACTTCTTGATGCCTTTCGCTGATTTTGGCGTCTTCCAGTTCAAAACTTGTTCCACCTTCTCATCATCCGCCCTGATACCTTCTCCTGATATATAATGTCCTAAAAATTTAATCTCCTTCCTAAATAACTTTGTCTTCTTCTTGCTACAATATAAGTTAGCTTCTCTCAACTTTTGTAAAACCAGTTTTGTATGGCGTGCATGTTCTTCTGCCGTTTTTGAAAAAACTACTATGTCATCTAAATAGACTACACAGATGGTGTTCAGCAAATCACCTAAGGCTTCTTCAAGTCTCCCTTGGTGAGTGCTAGGTGCGTTTGTCAAGCCCATTGGCATAACGCACCATTCGTAGAGACCCCATGGCGTATGGACGGCCGTCAACGGAATGTCGGCCTCTCGCATGCGAGTTTGAAAGAAAGCGTTCGTAAGATCAATGATGGAAAAAATCTTTCCAGTTCCTACGAGCCTGACCAACGTGTCCACATTAGGTAACGGCGCACGGTCCCTCACGGTCAGGCTATTCAAGACACGGTAATCGCATACCCATCTCGGAAGTTCGGTAGGGTCCTTCTTTGGAATGATCAAGCTTGGAGAAGCATACTGACTTGTCGATCGTCGTATTCTTCCTGCTGCCAAATGCTGATCCACCAATTTACCCCAGGCGTTCATATGTTTTGGTGGGTAATTGTAAGCTTTCTCCTTGATGACTGCCTCCGGATCTTTCAATACAATTTTATGTCGTATCTTGGAGCTCTCGTTTTGTAATTTCTTGGGGAAGGATCCATCAACAAATAGGCCTTCCTCTTCAGCCTCCTCAGATACCGCCGGAATATCTACCGGGAACAGATCCTCAAATTCCTCAAGCATCTTCATCTCATAAATTTCATAGTCACTCTTAAACAGTTGCTTCCCTTTCACACTCACTTCTCTCTCCCATGCATCTTTGCACTCCTTCACAGGCTCATTCAAACGGGGAACTGACAACTTTTGAAGTTCTTCATTCCATTCCTCCAACAATCGATAATCATAAATTTCAAGACCAGTTTTTTCGCACACAATAGCTCTTTTATTAATAGAAACGGAGAATTGAAAAATATTGAAGAAAGGCGTCCCTAGAATCATGTCAAAATCACCTCCCACCTCTCCTAACTTGCAGTACGTCCTATTGAATACTTTTTTTGATGTTGGTTCAATAAGGTCGACGGTGGTGAAGTGTGTAAGCACAGGAGGCGGGGATTCGGTGTTGACCGCGAGGCTAAGCTGCATCGGTTTCACAAGCTTTCTCTTCTTAAGCTTAAGACGCTCTGCCGCCCGTTCTGTCAAGAGATTAATTTCGGCACCCGGATCAGCTAGAGCCCTTATCTTTTCGCCATTGTAGTTGAATTCAACGATGACGCGTGGCGGCTTAGGAGGATTTACGCACCCTTCGGCTTCGGCTAGATCAAGTTCCTCATCCAGAGCTTGGAGAGCCGCTAC